CCAGACAGAGGAGTACATCACTTGTCTGATCTTAAAATAAACCTGCTACTGAGAATCCTGCAGCATAAACTCACTTCTCCTTATCAAACAAACAGAAAATAAGTTGGTCAGGTGCTGGGGAGTTAGACATGACCTTGATGGGAAGGGACAGACATGTGAGGGAGTTTTTACCCAGAAGCTGCCTCGAATCCCTTATGATTTTTAACAGTCTCCTCCCAGCTTTCCTTCCCAGCTCTCACTTGGAGGGAGCAGAAAAACCTGATGACCCTTTAGAAGCATTGTATAAGAGTGACTGAGTAAACCATCTCAAAGTCAGATACACCTGCAACTCCATGGATACCAAACATTCTAGGGCTCCCCGATACCCAAACACCTCTGTTAAAGAATGGCCGGATCATCTGGTCATTTTTTTCTTCTTCATCCTGAAAACCTTAGAAGAGCTACTGAATAGGTAAGATACAGGAAATCATCATGATGGCTAAGGAAAGAAGTAGAGTTATTTATTCAGAGTAATGCACATAGGATCTAAAGTCAAACGGACAAGTGACTTTGTGTCCTTGGTTTCCCCATCTGTAAATGAAGACGGTGATAATAACAAGAGTGCTCATCTCGGCACACGGTGAAGGTGAAAGAGCGCAGGGTCCAAGAGCAATGTCTACTGGTGTTCGGTGGTATCTGACTACCTCACGTTAGGGAATATTGTGTGCACATGATTGTGCATGACTGTAGAAAGCAGGAAGCAGGAAGAAAAGTAGAATGCAAAACACATGTTCTTTTTTGATCTAGCAATTCACAATCATGAGTTCAACAGATAGATGTTCCTGGACAAATATGGGGAAAATACATGTGTTGGGATATTCCTTGAAGTATCACTGATAATAGTAAAAAATATTAGAGCTGGGCTGAGGGGTGTGGCTCAGTGGTAGAACACTTGCCCAGGGCATGTGAGGTCCTGGGTTCAATCCCCAGCACCACAGGGGAAAAAAAAAATCAGAGCTGATACATCTGTCCATTAATAGGGAGTTGACTGTCTATGGTAGGGCACAGAAGGAAAAACTATCACTACCGAAAAATGAAGTAACTAAGAAGAAGTGTCTTCATGTACAAATTAGAGACATTCAAATCAACTTCAACCTATGGGTAATTGTGAGAATTCGAAGAGGGGGGCATATAAAATATTTATCAAGATGAGTGGGGATGAACAACAGTAAGGACATTTCCCTCTGTCAATTTCAGATGTATTTGCTTTTTCCCCAGAGAAGTATATTTTCCTTCATAACTTAAGAACAAAACTTTTTCATGATTGTCAATTAAAAAATTCTGGAAATAGACAGGTAATAGAATTTAGGAGGGAATAAGAATGTATTTGAAGATTAAAGCTGAAGCTGGAAGACATCTATCCCAGGGCACATCACATAGAGAATCACCTGCTATCAGAACCTTGAGGGGTCCCACAGGCTTTACTTTTATCACAAATGCTCTGTCTCAATTAGCTAATGTCTCAAGTCAGTCCTACTTGGCTTCTTGCCCCTAAATGTCCCTCTCCCACTATCTGCGGCCACTTCATCTTGGCCTCCAGGAACAGCCAGCTCCTGGGGTGCTTCTGTGCCCATGTTACCCCTAAGCAGAAAGGACTTTGGGGGGGCCTGCCCAGGTCACCATACTGTTGTTACAGTGTTCTGAGCTTGTTAACTGAGTCTTGGTCTCAAGAACTAATCTGCACCTGTAACTGCAAGTTTGCACTCTAGGACCTTGGGCAGAAGTGCCGACCCTGTCAGCCTCAGTTTCACCCACTGTGAACTGAAGAATACTATAGCTGCCTCATAAAGCAGATGAGACCCATTTAACAAGCTAACCATATCTAGGGCACGGATGCCTGAATCAACTTTTGTAAAAGTCTTTTTTTTGTTTGTTTTTAAAACAATGATAAAGAAAATAATAGCCCTAATAATAAATAATTATAGAAGTTATAGATATTTACTATAGAATATTTGAAATATTCCTAGGGATAGGATGGCAGGATCAAAGCATTTGTGCATAGTAAAAGACTCTGACACACGAAATATGGGAACATGGCTTGTAGTCTGGAGAAACCCTGATTTCTTGTAGTCTTAAGGAGGTTCCAAGTGGAGGGTCCTCTTGAGTACCCCCTTTGTATGGCCTATTATCTTCAGGTGTAGGGTCAGGGATGCTGCCCAGCTATAAGTTAAAGGTTGTCCAACAGTTCAAAATAAATATACTCCCTTAGTACATTCTGCTTGCCCCTATCACCTGCCCGCTGTCTGTTTGATCTGAGCACTCGGGACCCTTCCTCAGGATAGGAAAGCTCTATGGTAATAGACTTGGGTATAAGTCAGAACTTTGGCCCACTTTATCTGTGTGACCCTGGGCCAGTTCTTAAGTTATCTGAACTACACTTTGTGCATCTGTAAAATAGGTATGATGAGAATAGCTCTCACCTTCCTTGAGTTATTTTTGAGGATTCAACACACACACAATGTCTGACATATCTTAGGTACTTAAGAATTATTGAAGGGGAGGTTTTGGGGAATGAGATAGGTCAAATTATGTGATGTGGATATATGAATAAACCACAGTGAAATCCAACTCTTCTGTATCATCAAAATGCACCAATAAAAAAAAAAAAGAATTATCCTAAGCCCGAGAAGACCAATATGGTGGCTACAAGCACATGTGACTTTTTCAATTTAAATCAGTTAAAATGATTTGAAAATAATAATTCAGGTCCTTGTCACCCTGGTTGCATTTCCAATGCTCAAGAGTCCCATGTGGTTAGTGGCCGCCATATTGAAAAGCACGGGCTTGCAGAAAGTTCTGTTGGGCCATGCTGCATTGACTGAAACTTTTACCCAACCATGGACCAGGCTTGGGGAAGAAGCATCCAGAAATAAAAGGCCACGGGAAGAAGTTGACTGGATAATGCTTCCACCCTTTCTTCTTGAAGAAGGGAGTCCTGGGCCTGGCCTTCTCCAGCCCTGAGAACCCAATCCCGTTCTGCATTTTGAATTCCATCCAGCTGCTTTTGTCACCTCATCTGTCAGAGATCCTAAGGGAAACAAACATTTCAAAGCTCGTGGTCGCCTTGAATATGCTTTTGCGGGTGTAAGTTTGTTATCGTAGTTCAGTGAATTAGTTCTGCTGTTAATGGGTCACTGAGCTGAGGGGGTTCCTTTCAGAAAAACAACAGTAAATCCATCACTCTTTAGATCTGTACAAAGGGGAATAAAAAAAAAAAGTTTAGTTTATGGGGGTCTGGTAGCTAGTGGCTGCTTCTAGGCCTCTAAGAGGCCGGCAAACTTCCAAACTCATGTTATTGTTTATTTTCCATGTGTGTTGAGCTGGCCAAGGAAAGGTGCTACGGAAATGGAACGTAAGCAGGGCTGCGTGAGGGGACAGGGGCACCGGATGTGGAGTGTCAGTGTGGCTGGGAATGGGAGCCCAGAGGGAATGTGCTTTTGAGGAAACACCCAACACCCTGGTGTATTTTTAGAGATTTAAATCTAAAGACTCTTTATGGTACCAGAGATGGGTTGCTGGCTTTTCAAGAGATGTCAAATTTGACTGTAGGAAACTTATTAAAAAAAAAAAAGTCCCCAAGAGGACATCAACCCAAAGGGGAAAAGAGGAGGGACCAGTGGGTTCATCAGATCTTATGGGTTTCAGTAGTAAAATCCTCTCTTCAAATATTATCCCTGTCAAAACTCCTGCAGAAATGTCCGTCCATTGGAAAGGAGCTTCCCTGGTTCAAGCAGGAACGGGGGCCTAGAACCCCACTCTCATGGCCCCATGGGGCAGCTACCCCAGGCACCTCTGTGGAACAAAGTATGGAAACCACCCAAGGTGGGTGCCCAATTCTTCCACACGTGTGATTTGGAGCAAAGGACTGCAGTAAACCTCAGTACTGTCACCTGTAAAATCGGGTGGGGGGATCCTACCCCACAGAGGAGTTGTGAAAATTAAATGACACGGAGCATATTAAAGTATATTATGGGTAATAAATTGTTGTATGAGGGGAAACACTGTTATCAGTAAGAATCCATGTTACATATCTTCTGTAAGAGATTTTATTTCTGTCTCTCCTCTCCTCCCCTGCCCACTTCCTTTCCTTTCTACCTTCCTTCCTAACACACTTTTATTGGGCACGGGCCCTGGGCTAAGTCCTGGAAATAAGTGATATATGAGATGCCATCTTCTCCTTTCAGAGAATTTGCTTGTTCTATTGGGGAAAGAGATGCCTCCATTGAGTCTTATAACAGAGTTCAACGCTGGCCTACTGTGTGCAAGTTCGTGGATGGTCCCTTTCATGTGGACTATTCACTGAAGGAGCTGGTGGTGAGGGTTGTGGTACCCTGAGGAGGGTGTGTCTTGTCCTCATTTACCAAAGGTCTCAAAGGGCTTGTAGTGGCCTTGACAATCAGGTGCTGAAGGGAAACTCAGGGCCTCTGAGAACCTAAAGCATCCTTGTTACTGATGGATAGAAAAGGTTTAAGCAGTTGTGAGAAAAACATGCCCAATCTCATGTAATAATTTGGTATTTACAAAACCAAAAGCCCCTTTTTTTTCTTTCTTTTTTTTTTTTTTTTTGCAAAAAAAGCCATAAAGGAAAGTACAAGAATCTTATGTTTGTCTAAGAGAGATCTAGGTTAAGTAAAAAAAGGTTCAATAACTCCCCATCTTAGAAAAATATAAGTGAAAAAGGGACTTTGGAGATCAGGTACAGAGATTTTACTTTCTTGAGGAAAGTGAGAGCCGGAGAGGGGATGCTTTCAAGCAATAGGTCTCAAGAGGACTTTTACCTGCATTTCCTGCATATGGGTCCCTGTCACCCTCCTAAAGCATGTCTTACTGAGAAGCTTTGATATGTATCATCTTCCTTGTAGCCCTAAGATGTTTAGGAGGGAAATATTTTTCTGATTGCTTGGGATAAGAACTCAGTCTTAGGAAAGGAAAGCAGCAGCTTGTTTGAGGTTACCCTGAGCCAGGATTGGAGCTCGGGTGTGATACCTGGTTCTGTGATGCCCAAGGGAGCACAGGACCCTACCTGCATAGCTCATGAAGTTGTTGAAAGGAGTGTTGAAAAAGCTATGAAAGCCACAGGTGTCATTTCCTGGTCCTGGGTCGCCACAAAACTTGTGTTTGGGGGCTGGGTTGGTGTCATTGCAGAGGTCTCCGGTCTCAAAAGAGGGCTCTGTCTCCATGCAGGGGTCGCTGCAGGACTGGATCTCTGAGATGCCCCGGAAGATGTGATAGAGGCCCAGGCTGTGCCCGATCTCGTGGATCATGGTGTGGGTGTGCCCAGGGATGCCGTAGAAAGAAGGGTTCAAGACAATGCCACCTGCAAGGGGGAAACCAGAGTGTGAGGCAAGGTGGGTATCCTGCTTCCTGCTGCAAGAACCCTGAGTCAACCAAAGATGAAGGGAAGCTTCCCAAATAGCAACAGGCTTCTCCACCCTGTGACTCTACAACCCTGAGTGCTGTTACAACCTGAGACATGAATCATGGGCTTACAGAGCAGGACGGAGTTTCACAAGTCATGTTGGAAAATTCCTTCACTCTTAGATGACAACACTGATGCCTGGAGAGGTGAAGCAATGTACATGCAGCGATTTCAAACTATCTAGAAGGAGAGGCCTGAGTTGCATTCAGGGACTCTAATTTCTGGGCTGATAGGACTTTCTGTTGTCACCTTTATCTTAGTAATAAGACATGTCCTGGTTCACAAATAGCTTACAGCTTCAGAACTAAATGAATCCTGCACATGAGCCTAGACATCTTGGTTCCAGTTCTCATTTTGCCTTCACTAACCATGACATTGCACAAGTTCATTATTCCCAAGGACTCTAAAAGCAACAACACTCATGAAGCCTAGGGTCATGGGCTCACCATTATAATAATGTTTCCTGAGCATTTACTATGTATATTCAGGTGCTGTGCTGGGTATTTCATGAGTACTTTCACATTTAATCATCTCACAACTTCATGAGAGAGGCTCAGATTCAAGAGAAGTAAAGTAACCCATCCATGATCAAGAGTAAGTATGGAGCTGAGATTTGAACTCGAGATCCTTGGGTTCCAAAGCTAGGGTTCTTAATCTGTGTTCTACTACTAATGCCTACCTCAAGGCCTAGGATATAGTGTTTCATTAAATGTGTGTGGAATATTTCCTGAATATTGACTCATCTAAAGCAGGTTGGGAGGTCTAACTAATCCCTCAAAGCAGCTAGCATAGCACCTGACATACATCAATTGTGCCACACAAGTGAATGACGGTCCACCCACATGAAAAAAAAAAAAAAGCAGTATAAACATCTCCCAGGAGCTTAGTAGAAATGCAGAATCTCGGGCTCTACCCCAGACCCACAGCATCATGATCTGTATTTTAACAAGAACTCCAGATCACTTGTGTATGATCTAGTTTGGGTAGCAATGTTCTACATCCCATGTCCCCAAAGATGGAGCATTGCTTAGTTAGCTGAGGTTAGGTAGAGCAGTTCTCAGCAGAATCAATGGATGGAATTTGATCCACATTTATTTTAAGTATTAGAAGGATGCATGCAGGTGGACAGAGAAATGTTTAAATTTCAAAATACAAACATGTTTAAGAGAATGTTAAAATTCATGTCTGAGAACCTTGCAAGTGTAGACTTTAGCTACAGAGCAGCATCTTATGAAAGACAGGTGAGGAGGCAGGGCCTGGGTGATTTGGGCTGGCAAGCCCAGAACAGGCCAGAGAGGAGTCTTATCTTGGATTGAACTGCTGGGGTGGTGAGCTTGCTCAATCCGGGGGCTCATGGAATCTATTAATTCTGAATTACTCAGGACTTCTAACACAAAGATAAAGATGTACGTACGAGAGGGTGTGTGGGTGTGGGTGTGCATGTGTGCGTGGGTGTGAGAAGGGGAAGACAGATGCAGGGAGGAAGAGAAATTGAGAAGGAAATCTTTCTCCATTATTTTCTGTCAATCATAATATGAAACATAATCCCCTTCCCACCCAAGGTTTTTTTCCAAGGATCATGGTGTAACTGCAGGAATAAAGGATAAAAAAAAAAATGTGGTTCTAATAAATTGAGTTTGATTGGGGCTACTGCACAGGAGTTGCTTAGGATCAACATGTCTCAGAATGGGGAGGTGGCAGCTTGCAGGCCGGCTGGAGGTAGCCTGACATGGGTCACAATCCAAGTTCTGCTTCACTGTGGCCTTGTGAACTTGAGAAACTGACTGCGTTTCGGAAGAGTTCTAAAATAATTGGCTGCAATAGTGCTAATGATTCTTTGTTGCTTCACGAAGCTTGTATATCAAGGTCATAGGGGGCAGGGCCATTCTAAGTATAATGGCAGCACAGACAACTTTCATCCAGGCTGGCTCTGTTTGTTCTACCTTAATTCACCCTTTCCACAGAGTGACAACACTGGACCCAAGTCTTGTTTCATTGCTCCTCTTAAAAGGTGAAATAGCTTGAGCCTGACATCATCCTGAAATACTATAACATGCTATGGAGTTATAGCCTCCCAAATTCCTGGCCCCGAGCCAGTCCCTGACATTCATGAAATTATCAGAAGTATTTTTCTCTAACTTTAGAAGCCTGCTATTCAACCCTTCTCAGACTATGATCATCACCCTTTGGGTTGCTTTTCCAGCAGGCAGAATTTCAGAGCTGAGAAGGGTCTTTGGAGGGCTATCCAGTCTAACCTGTTTAACTAAAATCTAAGGACATTGATACCTGGGAAGGAAAGAGATTTGTCTAAAGCCATACTGCTAAGTGAAGTCACAGGTGAGAACCATGTACTTTAGCTCTGGTTTAGTATGATTCCCAAACTTCATAGTAGGCCTATGATATAAAATGGTCATCTTCAGGTTTGCTTAAGTTGTTTATTCTCTTCTGTCCAACCCCTGCCTCTCTGTGCCTTATCTCTGTCTGTCTACCCACCTATCACTGATGTCAGGGTTTATCGGGGTTTCCCAATCTCAGCACCATTGATATTTTGGACTACAGAATTCTTCATTGTGGACATTGCAAGGCATTTAGCAGCATTGCTGGCTTCTACTTGCTGCATGCCAGTAACATTCCCCCATTGGTAATAGTCAAATACCTCTCTACACATTGCCAAATGTCTGCTATTGGAGAGAATTTCCCCAGTTAAAAACAACTAGATATTTATCTTTGCATCCATCTCTTTTCATGCATACATGTACACACACACACACACACACACACACACACACACACAGAGAGAGATTTGTTTCATTTCTTAAATACAGTTGAGACATAAAAGCAGTCTGAAGGGAACCAAGCTTATGGCTTAGTTGGGCACAACTTCCATCATCTGAAGTTGCAGAATCTCTCGTCTCCAAGATATCCCAGAGTTAGAGCAGTTATTGAACTCTGAGTGTATCCCAGCGAGACCAGGCAGGTCTGAAGATCCAGCCAGCACTGTCGTTTTGCTGAGCCCTAACATTCTCAGATGAAGATGTTCACTGAGTCATCAGAACTCATTGTTGTAAATAATGGGAACACTCTACCAAGAGGAGAATGGTTAAATCAATTGTAGTGCCTTTATTCAAAGGAATAGTATGTGACTATTAAAAATTTCATCTTTAGGGAGGTGTGAATAACCCAGAGAGATGCTTTTGTCTTGAGATTTTTAAGTGAAAAAACTTAGTTGGAAAGTAATTATAAGGCTTAGTTGGAAAGTATATGTAGACAGATAGCATAATATTAAGTGAAAAGAAAAAGAACTGTGTGTATTTAGAGTTCAAAGATGCACACTTTTTTTTTAAAGCACATCTACCTATAGATGTGTACTAGATAGAATATGGAAAAAAAATTAAAGAACTATAGTAGTTTCTTATAGGCCCTGGTTCAGAAATCATTGTCATTTCTTATTGGTTTGTATAAATTTATGTTCTGTTTATGGACATGCATAATTTAAGTGTAAAAAGAGTCCCTGGTGTTATGGGTAGATAGAACACAGAGGAACAGAAAGTTGTTACAAATGCCCTTCCTCTTGTCTCTTTGCTCTCTCTCAGGCCAGCTCATGATGGGTCATGCTAATGCAGTTGATTACCTGGTTAAGAAAATGTTTGCATGAACTGGGAGACAGAATGTTAAGAAGAAAGCAATCAATGGATAGTCAGACATGAGTTCTAGTTGCAAATCTGTCACTGATTGAGTGTGATGTTAGATAAGCCTCATTCCCCTAGGTCTGAATTTCCTACAGGTAAAATATGGCTACTGGTATTGTGCTATTTTCTTCAGTGCATTCCTTGGTGGCCAAAATGAGATAAGGAGTGTTGAGTTTTGTAAATTAACAAGGAAACAGGTTGCTCACTGTCACCACCCACCAGCTACACCATTGTGATCATGACAATGATCATGCTCACTACTAAATGTGTTACTGTCTATGTTCAGGTTCCTCCTGGAGGAGTTTGTAAGACTCACCTAAGTGCATGAGGGCCTCCTTATCCCATGGCCACGTTGCTACTCCTGCCAACTCCTCCTCTGAAGAGTTTGCAAAGAAAATATTGAGGTGTGTTGATCCATCCAATCGAAGAATATTCTTCAGCTCATTAACATCCAAGTAGGCTCTGAAACAGAAAAAGAACTTTGGCTGTTATCATCATCCAAAAAAGGTACTATTCAAACAACAAGTACTCCCTAAATAATTAAGAGCTATTATGTGCCAGGCACTTTCCTCAACTCTTTGTAAACATCACTTTGTTGAATTTTCCTGATAACATTAAAAGATTAGATGATTCTATTTTTACAGATAACAAAAAATTAAGTCTTGCAAATATTGCTCAGTTTATAAATAGCAGCATTACGTTTTGAATCTAGATTTGTCTATGGTCAATGTTTGTACCGCTTAGGACTCTGTTAAATTGACTGAGGACGGAGCCAATAACAGGAGCGGATGAAAAACACATATTTTCTATTCTTGGTTGCTTCTGCTTTTTGCTCATTCATTTGAGTTTTGGACCATCTATTTGGAAAAAATGTGGATGCACTAGGAAAATGGGCTTCACATCTCTACATTAACCCTGCAAGGAGTCACTGTTATTGTGTTTTCAAGATGAGCAACCTGTGCCCCAGAGTTTTTAATAGATTACCCAAAGTCATAGAAACAGGGTTCAAGGTCAACAGTGGAATGTAAGCCTGGAAACCTCTCTTCATGGAGGCATCTCGCCATCATCCATAGATGATTCTGCGCTCTCTGAAATTTTATTTCCACATCTGATTAGACTAGAGAGGGATATTGTGTTTGGGTTGCTGTCACTGTAGACTGGCATGTCCTGAAAATGAATGAGATCTTTAAGCAACAAGCAACAAGGATCAGCTCTTCAACGCATGGGACGAATGTGTTCAAGAATGAGGGCAAAAGAGAGCGAGAGAACAAAGGAAGTGGTCACTGGCATATCCTAGGTGCTCAAGAAATAAGAACTCTTCCCAGGGAGCGCGACTCTCATCAGAACATAAACACTGCATGTGAGAGAGTGCCTTCGGCTTTGGATCAGTCACAGGGATATTATTCCACAATTCATTTTATAAATACATTGTGCCCTGTCATGCTTTTTTTAGGGGGGTGGGGAGTACCAGAGATTGAATGGTACTCAACCATTGAATGCCATCCCCAGCCCTATTTTGATTTTAATTTAGAGATGGGGTCTCACTGAGTTGCTTAGCACCCCAATTTTACTGAGGCTGGGTTTGAACTCCATCCTCCTGCTTCAGCCTCCAGAGCTGCTGGGATTATAGACGTGCGCTACCACACCTGACCCTCTCATGCTTCTTTCTGCCCCATTTTGCCTGCCATCGTGAATCTCAGGATCCTTGTAAGTAGTTGACAATCATTCCTGAGTACAGTTAGGAATGAATCCATGGACCAGTGAATACAAACCTAAATAAACACAAAAGCCGTCACCTTGAGCAGGAGACGAGATAAAGTCAAGGAGTATTTGTTAGGTCCTTCTGTGTGGTCCAACTATTCACTATTCTTTTTGATAACAAGGAGGTAGACAGTATTGGTATCCCCATTTGCTGGGTGCAGGAGAAACAGAGTCTCAGAGGAATTTCATTCTTCATAAGTTCATGCAGCTAGTGGATAGTGTTCTGTTTTTCCATGGAGTTCTCACAGAACCTGGCCAGGAGTGCACATTAATGATGGATCCCTTTCTTCCCTCCCTGCAGTAATGGAGGGGCCTCTCTACATGTGAGGGTAAAGTCCAAGCCTCCAGCATGGCCCGAACGTCCATCCCTGCCTACCCTTGGCTTTGACTCTCTCTGCCACCTCTCTTGAACTTTCCACTGTGTACAAACAGCATGATCTGGGTCCTTGGGACCTTTACCTATGCTGTTTCCTCTCTGGGCCTCTGCTCATCCTTTTGTCCTCTGATGCACAAATCTGAGGTCCATTCTGGTATCACTCCTCCAGAAGGCTGCACTGATGCCCACCTCACCGCCATCCCCCATTTCCACCTCTGTCCTCACCCACCTCCTTTTGGTGATGTAGACTCTCACAAGATTCCCATTAATCCCTTCACCTGTCTGTATATATCTCTTTTAGGAGGGGAGCCATTTTCAGGCAAGGAAGCTACCTTATTATCTCTGTTTACCCAGTTCTTAGCTTGGGGCTTGACACCTGGGGAACCAATGGATTAGAATTTAATTTAGAAAAAAACAAAAGCTAAAATATTTAAGTCCCAGAATCAGTTATACCAACCATGGACCATGAGGCCTCAGTTTCCTCATCATTGTATTGGGATTAGTAACACAGACACTCCATAGAAGACTTTTGAGGATTGCAAGCCTACATCCTTCCATGCCCATGTCAATAGGATAGATAGGTCCAATACTTAGAGTGTTCTTCTGTTATCCCCATGTCATAGAAAGTCTCATGCTCATGAGACCGAATGTTCATATGACCATAATTTTTATAGCTTGTCAGGAAAAATAAAATTTGTCATGGGTTGGAGATACAGGCAAGGCGTGAACTGAATAACTCTAGGGATAGTCATATAAGACAGATATTGACCCCAAATCTTCCTGCTGAGACCTCTCCCCCAGACGTTCATGTGTGACTTCTAACACTGGAGGCTTCCTGAGGAGCTCTAATCAATCAGTCTGTTCTGTCACCAGAGAGGGGGAAAGAGGGTGGAAAATCCAGCATTTATTGAGTATTTGCTTCATGTCAGCCCCTGGGCTAAGTAGGCACATTTTCTCATCTTGGTTTAGTATTTGAAGTATGTAGAATGGGTAGTGTGGCTTGTTCTCAAGCTAGAACCCCAGGGTTGAATCCAGTTTTTCTTCTTCATGTTTGGGCCATCCTGGGCAATGGACTTAACTTCCTGTTTCTTTCTGTATGGAATGAAGGTGATAATAGATAATAGTACCAAACCCACAGAGTAGTTCAGAGGAGTCAGGAAGTTAATAGGGAAGTGTGAGGGTTTAGATCAGGGTGGGCAAGGAGAAAACCCTTGACACAGGGGGTTTCGCTGTTTCTTAATTTATCCCCATCTTAAAGACAAGGAGCAGGGGTTTGTCGGTCATATAACTTGATAAGGCCAAGTACAGATTTAGATGTGTCCAACACTTCCCACCACCTTACCAAGTCCCCAAGCTCCTCCAGACCCGCTTATAAAAGGGAAATGATACTTGGGAGGAGAATGAAAACACAGAGGAGCCGAGATTTTCTTGGATGGGCCCATTCCACATTATTTTTTTTTTCTCATTACTTTGTCCATTTCCATCAAATGCAGAGAACATTTCCTAGTAACACTACTGTTACTAGAAAAAAAAACAACAACACCTCTGTCCCATTGCTCTGGGATGAGAGGAGGGCTCAGGGTGGGGTAGGGGTGGGGGAGATGTTTTAATTGGATGTTTATTCAGTGGTAATTGCAGAGCCAATCTTTATAAGGGTTGGTATTCATCCTGGCCCAAAGCAGAAATGTGGGATGCTGGAGCCTCTCCCTGGCTCATAGTGGGGTTTTCTCATACTTTGGGAAGTCTCCATTTCCCAAAGGGGGAAGAATCAATGGCGGCTGGCCAGACCCCTAGCCCCACTGGCCTTTCTCCTCCCCATCTCTCTTGGGGACCCACCCAAAGGAAAAAACAGCTCTGTGGCTAAAAATTCCTCTTCTGCTGGCTGAGGGTTTCCTAACAATACAGAGCCAAGTGCGGTGTCTCCCAAATGCATCAGAGGGAAATCTTGGGAACAGGATTCACCTCCTTCCCCTATCCCTTGACGATGCTGTTTTCCCTCTTGGGCAATGGAGGAGAAGAAAGCACAGGAGTTAAATTTAGAAGGAACATTTGAGTTTAGGAATATTCATGAGAAAAGGAAATGACTTGCTTAGGGTCCCTTCATTTTCCATTCTGCAACTATGGGAAGGCTGGCCCTGTGTGTGTGTGTGTGTGTGTGTGTGTGTGTGTGTATGTGCGCAAAATTGATCACAATTATTTTTTAAAAAATCATTACCCCTAAGAAAAATCAACCCAAATCCAAAACACTATGTGTTTATTAATTTATGTACCAGTATTCCTCAGAGATGGACAGACAGACTCATTTCCATGGGCAAGTTGCTTTAAGTCCCTGAGTCTGTTTGCTCTCAGGGATGCCAGCAAGATTAAATGAGACAACCAAGCCCAGTGCCAGCCCACATCCAGAAAATGTGGACTCCTCTCCATCTCCTCCTCTCCTATTTTCTCTACTGGGGAAGACTGGCTTTCCCAGTCTCAGCTTTCAGTGTATCTTCCCCATCATTCAAACTTTTCTTCCTCCTACAACCTCATCCACTCAGGTTCTCATAGTTTCCTTGTCCTTGGAACCCTACATGGTTCCCCAACTATTCCCATCCCCTACCCAGGCCCATTAGTTTCTCTCTTCAGTCTCACAATCTCTCTGCTTGAACCTTAGCCCTTTCAAAAACATCCCTCCTTGCAAAGTTCAGCTTATAGGTGACATGCTCCAGGTATCTTCTCCTGGCCACATTCACCTGTAAAAATGCTAATGAGGGCAACCACCTCTCAGGGTGTTGGGAAGATTAGAAGCCACGAAAATAATGCAATGTTTTATTTTGTGTGAGCTATGGGCTTTACACAATAAATTATTATCAGCTCTGTGTCCCTTAAACACTTCCTTCAAGATGGAGAACTACCACTGATTTGAAGCTATTGAGCACCGTTCCCTCAAAATTAATAATTTCAAAGCAGGATGAGTAAGCACAGGGCCCGGGATAGGGAGGGAGCTTGTCAAGGTCACATATCAAATAAGGGGCAGGAAAGGGTAGCAATGGACCTCTATGCTCTAGCATGTGTACATGGGACCGGTGTATAGTAGTACTTTCATACCACTAAGTAAAATCACCTCTTCCTTCCGGTAGAAACAGTTCCCTAAAAGGGTGCATCGCTTGGACAGCCCCTGTAGCCTCCACTGTCCCTTGACTGGGGTGCAAGCATGAATATCTGGCTTCTTTTCACCATATTCTGGGCCCTACTCTGCACTCCTGGGTCTGTGTCTACTCAGTGAGTTTGAAAACTAGATGAATATTGTCCAGATCAAGGTCTACAGAAGGCTAAATCCACAAGA